TTCTGGAAAACGTAATACCCTAAGAAGTCCCAAAAGATTAACAGGTATCTGACAAAAATCTGATGGCAGGCTGGACAGAAATCTGGACACTAGAAGGCTGAACAAGAGATGACTGGGCAAACGCATGAGTGAATACCAGGACTAGAATCAAGGCTGTTCAACTCTCAGTCCATTTTCCCCTCTAACAACATGACAGAAAAGAGATCACTCATTAATAATAGCTCATGCTAAGAAGTCTAAGGATCACGTACTTTCCTCATTACGTATAAAGTAATGAAACTGATTTTCCTGTGTGATTTTTAACAATTAGTGTCATTATATCAAACAGGATTAAAGTTTTTTTCATTTTAAAGTCAACAGCCAGCATTGTGAATACTCATCTAAATTTATACAGAATTAGCTTTTACCCACTTACCTAGCAGCGTGATCATGGAAATGTTACTTATCCTAAGTCTCACTTTATTTATAAATTTTTAATACATCAAGATACAGTAATCATACACACATCTTTGTTATTTTGCTGTGAAGATTAAGATTTAGGGATCTTGGCAGAGGGCCTGGCACATAAACTGCTGCTACTATAATCCAGGTGAGAGTGGGCAAAGCCATGGGGTGGAAGTCAGGATGTGTGTCTTCTACAGCAGGAAATCACTTACTTATAACTACATGGCTTTGGATGGGTAATCTGGTACCTGGGCCCCCAGCTGGCAAAAAGAGACTGCACTACCAGGGGTTATAAATTGAGGGCTCATGGATTATCCAACCCACAAGAGTCCACTGGTCGAACCCAGGGATTTTGTAAACTGGATCAGGAGAAAATGTACACATTTATTTTCACTAATCTCCAGCTAGATTTCAGCATTTCTTTTGAATATGGACACAGGTAACAAACTGCACACAGTCTTCGGAATTCTTGTAACTTTGTCACACAGAAATGACATTTTAATATCATAATCCAGTTGTTATCCACTTAAAACACATTACTCAATTATGATTATTTTGATAAAATATTTCAACCTTCATAATTTTAAATATTTTATGTAATTAAAACATTCTGGCCTGGCACAGTGGCTCATGCCTGTAATCCCAGCACTTTGGGAGGCCGAGGCAGGTAGATCATGAGGTCAGGAGATGGATGGAGACCATCCTTGCCAACATGGTGAAACCCCGTCTCCATTAAAAACACAGAAATTAGCTGGGCGTGGTGGCATGTGCCTATAATCCTAGCTAGTCAGGAGGCTGAGGAAGGAGAATTGCTTCAACCTGGGAGGCAGAGGCTGCAGTGAGCCAAACTCATGCCACTGCACTCTAGCCTGGGCAACAGAGACACCATCTCCAAAAAAAAAAAAAAAAAAAAAAAAATTAAGAACCCCTACAAAACCCTATAAATTTTAGTTCTTACATTCTATGAATGCACCACACACATGTATTCTGATTCAGTAATCATAAGGAGCAGGATAGAAACCTGCATTTTTAAATTTTATTATTGTTATTTTTTGAGACAGAGTCTCACTCTGTCCCCTAGTCTGGAGTGCAAAGGGACCATGGCGGCTCACTGCAACCTCTGCCTCCTGGATTCAAGCAATTCTCATGCTTCAGCTACATAGCTAGAATTACAGGCATGTACCACCACGCTCAGCTAATTTTTGTATTTTTATTAGAGACAGGGTTTCCACCATATTGGCCAGCCTGGCCTCAAGTGATCCACCTATCTCAGCCTCCCAAAGTACTGGGATTACAGGCTCTTCAGCCACAGCACCCAACCCAGAAATCTGCATTTTAAATACATGCAAACATCTTACACTCCGAAAACTAAAGACTGTTTAATTTATACTTTATAAAGACAGTTAAAACCTAGGAAAAAAGAACTTATTTTATAGATAGAAATTCTGATTTGGAAAAAACTCTACGGGCATTTTTTTATTTTTAGCTTCTCATGCATTCTTCTTGCTGTATTGCTTACAAATAAGCATCTAGCTTATGTGTATTTACTTCTGTAAACAAAATAAATGAGTATCTTCTTCCACATGAACCCTTAGTTATCAAGACTCTCCACCATATTTTCTTCTGTCTGTTACAGCCTACATCTGATTGGCACACAGTAAGCAGAAGATCAAGTAAATGCTGCCACATCATCTAAAACAGTAAATTATGTTTCTTCAATTAAATAAACAGCATACTAAGTCAATCCCTTTGTATAAATTATATTAAATTCTGTTAGACTTGTTGATTTTGAGCCCCATATAATTTAGAAAGAGATACTATCCTATTAACAATACTATCCATCTTTTGTGAAAAGCATGCTTTTTAAGGCTTCTTCTGTATCCGGTTAAAGAGTTTTGGGAATACCACATTAAGAATAAAAAAAGCCAGAGGGAATGAAATCCAAGAAAGTTACCAGCAGCTCTAGAAAACAAAAATCAAAAGGCCCCATAGCACTCTAGAAAGATTTTATAAAAAGAAGTGGAAAGAGGTACAACCTCCCTTGTCACCTTACACTTTAACTGTCCTTTAAACCTGCCCCATGTGCCCACACTACGTTACAGGGTATAGCACAGGAACTGAAGATCTGAGCAAAACTAATGTCAGTTAAGAAACCAGCTATTTTGACAACTGCTGATCACCTGATTTCAGCACCTATGGAAACAATAAAAATCCCTAAAAACAGGAGAACATCACCATCCACTTTATTGTAACAGCTGATTGGACTCCTCCCCTAAAAGCCCTGTATTAATATTTTCATTAACAAAAAGAGTACATCCTAGCATTTACTTTGCTGTCATAAGCTACTAGAAGCTGTAACAATAACAAGGGTCACTTATAGCAGGCCATGCTATAAAGAACACTGGATTCGTTATCAGAATTTTGGACTCAGTAATACTGACCACGTGATTGGCTGTGATTACATCAGAGAAATCACTTTACTTTTGTGCCCATTACTTTAGGTGTGCTGATTCTACAACAAAGATTCTGTGTAGCAGAACACCTATACAAATATGCTAGTTATAAAAAAAAGCTATTAAATGACAGCTAAAAATATTAAACAATTATCAGTCTGAAATATACCCAAACCAAACGAAGAGCCTCTGAACGACTACTCAGTTTATGTGATGACTGGAGAATAAATGGACAGGCAGCAAGAGGACACAGATACCAGCCAGGATCACAGGAAGGAGACTCACCATTTCTGAAGGGTAAAATAAATGAGTGAGACACGAGGGGTTACAGATGGCAAAGTCTGATGTGCCAAGTTCTCTGTTGCTGTTATATGATCTTTTCTTCTTCCAAGTAAAGACAATAAAAATGAGTGGGTGGAGATATTTTGGTCTCCAGTTAAGTCAAATTTAGGAAAGAACCCTGCCACTAGGTAAGAGAATAAAGCCACAATAGATCAAATGCCAGTGTACTCTGCTAACAAGGCTAGCACCATTATCAGAGTCTAAGAAACAAAGGTACCAGTGTACTCTGGAATGAAGATATAATAACTAAGCTAAAAATCAGAGACTCATATCCTAATCTGAGTTTTGCTAGTAAATGAAGCAATAGAACCTTGTTAAATTTTTTTTTTTCTGGGATTTTATCTACAAATTAGGAAAAGATGATTTCTTTTCACTTTCCACTTACATTAGGTACTCAAACAATGGTGCCTCTAAGGTTGTAAAGTACACGTATTTATGATCAATGACAAGATCCCGAAGACAGTATTACATTAGAAGCTCTAATATAAGACAGGGCTTTAAAATGTAGAAAATTAATGAGGCAAAATACACCAAATTAATAGTAACAAGATCAAGTTTCAGGAGTAAAGAGTCAATCGCCATCATCTCTCTAATTAATCTATCACTTACAAACATACTGATATTACACAACTAAGTAATTCTCAAAAGACATGTTACTAATCTGAGTTTCTACAAAACTCTCCGTCTTGAATTCTTAAGTATGGTTAAGAAGAATGAGACACATGAAAAGGAAGTCCTATTTTTCACATCAGTGACCCCTCTCAAAAAGTTATTCTGCTTGTCTCTTACAAGAGAATGTATTTAAAATACTGGCACTTTAGAATCTTCAGTGGGATTTCAGAAAAGAATCGTGGGAAATGATTACTCTAAAATAATTTTGTCACATTTTCTAATACAAGTAAAATGTTTGAGCAATTTCAGTAACTACATGTTAGACCTTTAATTCCAAATTCATGTATTACTAACTGCCTTTAGAAAAATACTAACACTCTGACTACATTACTAAACCCATAAAGCAAACATTTCCCCCAATTAAAAAAAATTTCCAGCCATTTTTTCCACACCTGATTTTGATGTGGATAATAAACCACCACAGAAGATGAAAATGGCTTCATTCTCAGGTAAAGTATTCCAACTTAGCTTTTAATTGACAAACCTGTATATTAGAATTGACAATGAGACAATGCCCTCATTAAAAATGAAGACTTTCTGAAACCCTCAGAATGTTAAGTCTAGAGCAAAATCAATTTTTACAAGTTCTTCTCAAACACTTTATAATAAAAGTAAACTGTAGAGAGTCATTAACTTTCAGTAAAAAAAAATACAAGGGCAGAGAACATTTGTTCTATGGGAAGATCTGTCTAAACTCTAGATAAAAACATTCACATTTTGGTTATCTGGCATGAAAAACAGCAAATACTGAAAAACAACATGTCAGAAGTTCTGGTTTCTGCTTGTTAGTTCTGCCAGTAAGTAATATAGTGATCTACTGACTTCCCCATTACTAAATAAAGGGAAATTGTAAGGTTCCATGTGAACTCTAAGTATGTTAAGATTCTTATGATCAAGTTTTTGCCTACTTAAAAATGGAAAACTGATTTAGCCCCCCTTCCCACGAGACCATTCTGTGTCAAGCAAAGCTTGAGTGTTATTCTCATATTTTCTTCCAACAAAAAAATAAATAAAAGGAGACATATTTAGTGTTTGTGCATCTTCTAATCAGACACTATTAATCATTTCTTTTAAAATTAAATTACCTACCTCACTGGGGTGTTGTGAGGATTAATTCATTAGTGTTTGTAAAGCACTTTGAGATCCTCAGGTCAAAGGCGCTATAGAAGTGCAAAGTAGTAGTATTATTACTAGATTCTTTGCTTATTTAAGGAATTTCACAATCCTTTAAAACCTAACTCTGTGTTATGACTTAGACAGGTAAAACCCTGCCATTTATCCACATTACTTTAAACTCTTTTTAAATATATTATAAATAGGGGCAGAATGTTTCAAAACAACTGATTTTAATGGTTAAACTCTGATCTACCAATGGAAGGAGAGAATGAATAAGCAAAAACCGAGTGTGACAAATTTTGTTTAGCAAAAAAATTTTAGTGAGAAATCTGGTCAATTAAATTTAGAAGTGTGCCTAAGTCGTAAGAAAAAAACAAAAGCCCACTTTAATTACAGATTCTGTTTCTCTTTCATCAAAAAGCCAGCACTGCACTTTTAAGTTGCTTTACATGCATGTACATGCAATCGTCATTTAAACCTTTATATCTGAATCACCGTAACAGTATTAGTGTGAAATGACATCAAAATAATTGAGCTGTTTTTTGTTTAAACTAGCCTCTCACCCCTCAATTGTACAAAGCAAACCAAGCATTGAGAAGAAGTCAAAGCAGCTTTGCTTTACAGAGTTTTTAAGAGAAAAATTATAACGAAGGGCCAAGGCTTCAAAACCATTAAAATCTTGGATTATTCCACCACTTTCCACTCCCTTCTCTAATCTTTTTACAATTAGTGTTATTTTTTAAACCAAAACAACATAACGCACATGTACACACATGCACACATACAAAGCTAAGAGAACCAGAGCTGTCTATATACTGGACATTGTATTCAATAACACACTTCTTTAAAAATTCCAACATCCTCTGATGAGATTCTTCAGTGCAACACAAGCTCTAGTCCTAATATCAAACTGAAATTTATATATTAAACTTTAAACACTTACCTCCTGCTCCTGTTGAAAGATGACGACTCTACCACCCTTATCTCCTGTTGCTAGTAATTCTCCAGAATGATTAAATTCTACTGTAGAAATTATATCTGCTGTATAATTAAGACAAAACAAAAAAAGACATTAGTTTTTCTTTCCCAACTCACTAGTTTCAGAACTTAGCATGTTCTTCCTAAACATTCCAAGTCTATGAAGTATATCTCTGAAGTACATCAACCACCCATCAGAAATAATGTGAATCTAAAGTTCTTTCATAAATATTTTGATCCACTAACAAAAATTATCCTCAGAATAAAACAGTATGAAACTATTTTAACAGAGAATACAACAAATACTAGTTTATTAATATTTCACTAAATTTGTGAATACAAGGAAATCAACAATTTGTGAAACATCTGATAGTATCCTTAAACATTATCTTGCTATTTACTTACATACATTTGATAAGCTTGTTTATGTAAACACAAATAATCACCTATAATAAAGGCACATATTATTAACCCGGGAGGGGGAATTTTAAACGTAAAAATACTTTCAGATGGAATTTTACATCATAAATTCAAATCACAGCTTCAAGCAAATGTCTGCAAATAGATCGCAATTTTTCATACCAGAAATGCTTTGCGCCATGTGTCTTCAATGCACACGGCTCCTCCAGCTCCCTACACCGCAGGGCCACTAGAACCAGTCATGACACCTGGATTCTACCAGCTCAGTGATGACTTCACAGTCACAACCAAAGCAAACTGCCAGGTTTTTTCTTGTTTTTTTCACACCAGAGCCCTTTTCTTAAGGAAAAAATTCTAAATTACAGAAATGGGCATCAGATAGAGCAAGTACACTGTACAATTCATCACTGTGTTATTAACAAGTTCTTCACTATAAAGTATTAAGCTGAATTAGAAAAGCCCCATCAACATGCATTTTAAATGTCAGCTTTGTAAGACAACAGCCTTCTTCTGGTGTACAGTAGCTCACTGTTAAGAATTTAATAATCTGAAGATAAAGAAACTTAAATTTACCTATCAGCACTGCATTTCATAATTTTCTTTTAGCAATTTTTTAAAGTCTAGATTTTGAAAAGATTTGCCTCCTCCATTGTCTATGTCCAAGGCATTTAATCTTTTTGAACTCCTTCAGAATCTACCGAAAGTTACACAAGCTCTCCCACAAAACAGCATATATTTAAGTGCTCATAAAAATGTGCACATTATCTCAGACTGTTCGGACAACACCTCACTGCCAGGTTTAAAAAAAAAAATCCTGGCTACACCACAGTAGCTACCAGGAGGAAAAAATAAACTTAATGTGTTCACTGCTTACATAAGTAACACAAAAGGCATACAACTTAATATACTGGACAACCATGGAAAATCAAACACTAGTAAGTACGGAGAAGTCGTTTGATAACACTACTGACTTCTGCAGTGAATAAAGGATTAAAAACATACAAAGTCCCCACGCTGGAAGCACATTAGACCATTACTGGGGAGAGAAGTAGGAGCAAAGAGTAGCAGAGAAAAAAAATTGTCAAATTTTATTTGAAGGTTAGGCTCTAAAATCAAATAACAAGGTAAACATAACAGTCAAAATTATCTTTAAATTCAAATCCCTCACACAGACATCACTGTGAAGACACAAATTCTTTCTCCTAAGTCCAACTCAGACAATATTCCTTACAGGATTGATAATTTGCTTTTTTGCCTAACCACCAAATGAACTAGTTAATACAAAGTCATGCTGCAACAAAAATACCTATCTTTGAACTCTAGAATGTGCTCTCAGCCTGGTGAAACGCTCACATCTGAAACCAATACCAGACTCAATCTCCTGTTCAACTCAGTGGAATAATGGGCCGAGGTGCCCGTTACTTATTTTCTCTTTCGCAGTTCCAAGTCATTCCATTCACCTAAATTAATTACAACTCCTCGTTAGGTAGATGAGCTGTTACAGTTTACACTTAGTAAGGAATACATCAATGATCATGGCATAATTCGTCTGACTGTGCTCTCTGCTAAGCAGTAAAGTTAGATGGACAGGTTTGGTGTAGGATGGGCTTTTTTTTAAGACTGTCTCAAAAAAAAAGACTGTCTCAAAAAACACACACACAAAAAAACAAAAAAACCCTCTGACCAGGCTGGAGTGCAGTGGTGCGACCATGCCAAACTCCTGGGCTCAAGGGATCCTCCCATCTCAGTCTCTTGAATATCTGGTACTATAGGCATGCACCAGCATGCCTGGATAATTTTCACGTGTTGGTCACGTGAAGATGACAGACGCTGAGCTTGTGTATAACATTCACCTGGCTGTCAATTTCTTGGTGTCACTGCTCAAGAAAAACTGGCAGAATGTCCGGGCCTTATATATCAAGAGCACCACGGGCAAGCCCCAGCGCCTATATTAAGGCACATTTGAATAAATTCTATTACCAGTAAAAAATAAAATAAAAATTTTGTAAAGACAGGCTCTCACTATGTTGCCCAGGCTGGTCTCAAGCTCGTGGCCGCCAGTGATCCTCCCACCTCAGTCTTCCAAATTGCTGGGATTACAAGCAAGTGCCACCACACCTAGGTGGGCTCAATTTCTAATAAAGAAACCCTAATATTCCTTAAGTGAACTGAACACAGAAAACCTGGAGATGATTAAGTCAGTAAGGACAGCATTACAGTAAAACAACTGAGATTTGGGACTGAGGGGTAGGCACATTCCATGCCAATTTATTATTTTTTGAGATGGGGTCTTGCTTTGTGGCCCAGGCTGGAGTGCAGTAGAGCAAGCATACCTCACTGCAGCAGCCTTGACCTCCCAGGTTCAAGCAATCTTCCCATGTCAGCTCCCTGAGTAGCTGGGACTACAGGTGCAGACCACCATGCCTGACTAATTTATTTTTATTTCTGTACAGACTGGGTGTTGCTATGTTGCCCAGGCTGGTCTCGAACTCTTGGGAGTCATGCAATACTCCTGCATTGAACAGGCACGAACCAAAACACCCAGCCCTTATCTATTTTATTATGAAAAGACAGAACAAGAATCAAGTGTTAAAGCAGTAGGTACAATCTTCCAAACTGAGATGGCCTCACACAACTGGTTATAATGTAATCACTGAACGTGTGAATGGAAGAGCAAAGTGAGAGGTGTGTAGGGAGAAGAAAAAGACTTTATTGCAAGATCTAACAGAAACAAGATATTTGCTCCAATATTGTATCATTTCTTATGGCAGGAGCAATTATTTTATAATGAACTATTTAAAGTGATATGGTACGTGTTTAATAGTGAACTCGTTTTGTAGCAAGGATAAAGAATTTTAAAAGGCACCCAGGGGTAGGGTGAGGAATCCTAGAAAAAACTGGCCCAAATAGCAAGTGGCTGGACATCAGGAAAGAACAAGAACCAAAGATTTACACCACAAAATCAACTCGCTGTAAAATCCTTGAGGGAAATACATATTGGGTGAATGGATTACCAATTTATAGATTTTCTTAAGACACTGGTGTTTGTTACTATTTATCTTGCCAAAAGCCAATAAACAGAAAGTTTTAGAAACTGCCAACTAAGTCACTGTTCATCTGAATAGTGTAGAGGAATTTCATTTGGGGGAGGTAGATGGGCAGATTCGTGGTCTCCTTGTTGAGATTTTTACACCACATTTATTTAATGTAACCATATTTCTACTAGGAAAACTATTTTCCTGGTTTGTGAAACAGAATTTAAATCTATCGCTATGTCATGGTGTTCCTTCTTCCTCCTTTCTCCCTAAAACAAAACAGAAGACCATCTACACAATTACTCACTAAATCTCTAAGTTTAGGGGTGATTCTTTGAAAGTTTTCAAAGTTGTGAAATGCCAAGGTCTTACAAAGTCTCACTGGGAATATGACATATTAAAATGATGAATAATAAGGGAGAATGAATTCAAATTCTGCTCATAGACCAAGAAAAACATTCAAGAATGAATTATGGAGAGCACTCTGAAGCAGCTTTGTACCGTATGTGCCACTGCATATTGGCGTGCCAAGAATGAAGCATGGGCTTGTCTGGTGCTGCAGAGCACCCACATCTGTAAGCTCTAGTTGTAAGCACCCTCCACGTTGTGTATCCTAGTGTGCCATACAAACATCACTGCTTTTTAGGAATGCCAGGACATGCAAAAAGTGAGGAAGAAAAGTCCTGAAAACAAGGAGACCATTTCATGCTATACCCAAACAAGGCTGGCCAAATACTGGTATCCAGGTTTGCAGAAAATAATCTACCCTAGAAAATATTCTTCTCATGTTCTGATACCCATATGTAGCTAGTAACTACCAGAACTGGACAGCATAGGTCTAAAACATTACAGAGTGGATACTGACATTCACGGCAAACACAAGAATGCTGGAACTAAGAGAATTCTGCATCTTTAAACAATGCACTCTAGGTGTGGGACACAACTGTCTTATACAAATACAGACTGCCCCCAGAGGAGCAGGCTGAAAATGTAAGTGTGCCATAAAATTTTAGATTCCTTGGATACTAGTTTTAAAACAATTAATGAAAGCTATGAATACTTGCAAATGCTGTACTCTTGATATCAGAATAACTATCATGTTTTTTAAAAGCAAAAACTGACATCACTGTCAGAGGTATCCTACCAAATTTATGCATGGCTTAGTACAGCATATCAGTTGAGTTATATCCTCACAAACCACCACCAACAAAATGCCAAAGAAGAACTTCTTTAAAAGGAAAATAATCTGTCCTATGACCAATTACAATGTTATTTTACAAGGATATATGTCTGTATTAATTAATCTTAAAAGGAACATTCTAATACAGTTACTGAAAAGGGACGACCTCCTTTCAGAACATGAGTCCACTCCCCTACTAACCTTTAAGTCAACTCAGCAATTTTAGAAAAATATTGATTTTCAAATTGTTCAACAAAAATACAGTATTTAAAAGGCATAATAGAATCTCTTGTTTAAAAAATACTGCAATGTTCTTAAATTTATATACTATTAATACAAAGCAAGGGATTTATAATTTATTATACAGAATGAAATTCTTGACTCTTCCCACCCGCTCTTTCTAAACTGTCAGCACCCAGGCAGGTTTTACTCTTAGAAGGTGAAATAATTGCTTTCTTTTGTGAATGGACGAGCAGCTGGTAGTGGGGATGACAACAGTGTCATTGGTCCATTTTTACTTCATAAGGCTGTTCCTTTCTTGTCACCTATCTTCTGTTTCTTGCGTACTATAATAAACAGAATAGGACACAGACAGCCAAAGGTTCAAAAATGTAACTCTCAGGATAAAAATCAGCAAGGGGAAATTAATAAATTGTATATATAAATGGGTGTAATTAATAATCACTATCTATCAAATGACTAAATTATTACTAGTCTTGGCATTCTCTAAATACCTCAGCTCTTCTGTTGTGAGGCACTTTGTGAAGTTACTCTTTGGTTTCATAATTCCATTTGAGGACTATGTCTCAAATAAATGACTTGAAAGAAACCAATCAAAATTAGTGCAAAGAGGGTTATAACTGTATTACCTATATAATTTTGTTTTTGTTTTTTTGAGACAGAGTCTAGCTGTGTTACCCCTGGCTGGACTGCAGTGGCCCGATCTCGGCTCACAATATCATCTGCCTCTTGGATTCAATCAATTCTCCTGCCTCAGCCTTCTGAGTAGCTGAGATTACAGGCACCCACCACCACGTCTGGCTAATTTTTGTATTTTTACTAAAGACGGGGTTTCGCCATGTTGGCCAAGGTGGCCACGAACTCCTGACCTCAGGTGATTTGACCGCCTCAGCCTCCCAAAGTGCTGTGATTATAGGCGTGAGCCACCACACCTGGCCACCTATATAATTTTTTAATAAGGCTGAAGGTATCTGAAATACTCAATAGGTAAGACAACATTGTGTCAAAGGTGCCAAATGAAAATAGCAACCAAAAAAAAAAAAAAACAAAAAAACAAACACAAAGTTGGAAAACTGTGGTCCACCACCTGTTTTTATAAATAATGCTTTACTGAAACACAGTTATGCCTATAAGGTGAATAGACGGCACAGACTGAAAATATTTACTATCTGGCCCTTTGCAGAAAATGTTTGTGAAACTGCTTTATATTATAACTGAATACTGGCATTAAAATAACACAAAGTCATTTCAAACTAATGTCAAAGCATATACAGATGTTACAACCAAAATGTGCCAAACACTGCACCAAGTAGGCATTTATTCGCTCTTAATCTTTATAACATCACTGTAACATGCATATCATTTTCAAGGTATAGAGAAACCCCTGAGAGATCAACCCGCCTGAGAAAAATCACACAGCGATCAGCTGTCAGAGCCAGGATTCAAATTTAGCACCATACAGATAAGGTGGCAGCACAGAATTCTATAAATCTCTGGATAATGTATAACTATTCAGTTTATTGCCTCTTTTTCACTGTCAAAATGTCCGTGTTCAGTAAAATATTTAGAGCCAAACATCAACTTTATACTACTTATTAATGATCACATTACAGTTACTGCCTGTCCCTACAACAAAACTTTTAAATATTTATTCGGCATCTGCTACATTCAAGGCACTGGGTGATACACATTCTAAATTCTACCTCCTAACATGGCTGATAAGAGAAAGCATTGCAATCCCTACAGATGAAGCATTAATCAGTAAAGGATTCAGTAAACGTTTAAGAAAAACCGAAGGAGTATCCTAAGGCAAAATAAACAACAACTACTACAGCATGAATTACAAGACATAAAGACCAAGTCAATATGTAAATAGACCTTCCCCCTTTTTTTTGAAATGGAGTCTTGCTCTGTTGCCCAGGCTGGAGTACAGCGGCATGATCTTGGCTCACAGCAACTTCCACCTCCTGGATTTAAGAGATTCTCCTGCCTCAGTCTCCCGAATAGCTTAGATTACAGGCACCTGCCACCAAGCCCAGTGAATTTTTCTGTCTTTAGTAGAGACGGGGTTCCACCATGTTGGCCAGGCAAAAGCCGTGTTTTCAAAAAATAAAAATAAAGGAGGGGAGGAAACAACCGAGAGGAACTGCTTAAGTATTTTTTTTCCCTTTTTAAAGGTATTTTGGTATCAATTTGTATCTTTTTTTTTTTACCCCCGCAGACAGAGTCTTGCTCTGTCACTCAGGCTGGAGTGCAGTGGCATAATCTCAGCTCACTGCAACCTCTGGCTCCCTGGCTGAAGCAAGTCTCCATGCCTCAGCCTCCCGACCAGTTGGGAGTATAGGTGTGCACTACTACACCCAGCTAATTTTTTAGTAGAGACAGGGTTTCACTATGTTGGCCAGGCTGCTCTTGACCTCCTGGCCTCAAGAGATTCTCGCGACTCTGCCTTCCAAAGTGTTAGGTTTACAGACGTGAACCACCGTGCCTGGCCTGTTTTTTTTTAACCATCTGATTTATAGATTCCTGAAAGCGCCACTTTAAACAGCTGACCTAGGTTCTATTCCTCAGATGCTGACAAACCCGATGCTGATATTTCCCTCAATATAATTAGGCTTGACAGTGAAATAGTAATAATTTAAAAGGGTAAAACATTCTAAACATTGCTGTAGCAAATAACTCTGAAAATCCAGATCTATCTATTTCATGCAACACAAAATAGCATCAATCTTAAGATAACCATGAGGTTCACAAAAATTCCATGAATTTCTTAAAATTCTACATTCCAATTACTGTCACAAAGGGCTGCATTTGTGTAAAGAGCAAGTATCTGCAAACAAACAGGGCTGCCAGTGTAGTATTCTAATACAAAATTAAATGTTCATACCTGGAAGAAAATGCTCTTATCAAGTTGACTATAATAAATCTTATCTTTCTACAAATGACATTTGACTTCCCCCAAAAGCTCTACCAGGTAATCAGTCTCCTCTACTTTTTGTTATATTTCAGTAAAAAGACAAAGATTAACAAAGAACAATGAAACTATATAAACAAAGGTATTCAGAAAAAGTACCCAATAAAAATGTGTAATTTTTACTACTACTATTTTCAAGAGGTTAAAGTAAAAGACAAAAAACAAAAAAAATTAAATGGCATGAATCTCATTTCTGGCCATGAGGAAGTTAAGATAATCTGAGTTTATTATCCTGCTGTGAAAGACTAGAAAACTGAAAATAATATATGAAACAACTGTTTTTTTGGACAACGGACAGTGTGGGGTAGAGAACTGTTAACTCTTAGAGAAGGAAAAGAAAGTGATCCCTTTAGTAGCTCTTCCTTACTGATGGCAAGGACAAAGACAGCATGGTGAGTTACAAAGAATCCAGAGAGCAGAAAATTAAAGCAGCTACAACATAAAGCAGAGTACCCCAAAAAAATGTATCTACGGGTGGCTCACTTAGAATCTGGCTGAAAACTGATCTGGACATATATGAAGCGACATATGAGGGCTCTGAAAAATTAGGGTCCCCACCAGCCAAAGGAGAGAAACCCCCACCAGCAGGTAGAGTTCTCAGGAGGATGACACCTTGGTAATCAGGCTAAATCAACACTAAAGACTAAACTTGTCCTGACAAAGTTTTAAAACAAACATTTGATCCTTGGAAATGATCAAATCTATCCCAAGTAACTTAACTATGTGCTAGAACAAAATCCAACACTTGACGATGTAAATTCATACTGCCTGGTTTCCAATATGAAATTACCAGGAATATAATCAAGCAGGAAAATAGAACCCATAATCAGAAGAAAAATAAACCAGTGTAAACAGATCTAGAAGCGACGAAAATGATAGAATTAAGGTCCTAGCAGCCACAGACCAAAACAGTTTTCGTAAATATGCTCCATATGATCAAGAATAAATCATGGGCCAGGCACCCTGGCTCACGCCTGCAATGACACTTTGGGAGGTTAAGGCAGGTGGATCACTTGAGGTCAGGAGTTCAAGACCAGCCTGGTCAATGTGGTGAAACCCTGTCTCTAGCAAAAATACAAAAAAATTAGCCAGGTGCAGTGGTGTACTCCCGCAGTCCCAGGTACTCAGGAGGCTGAGGTGGGAGGATGGCTTGAATGTGGGAGGATCACTTGAACCCAGAAGGTGAAGGCTGCAGTGAGCCGAGATTGTACCACTGCACTCCAGCCTGGGCAACAGTGTAAGACTATGTCTCAAAAAAAAAAAAAAAAAAAAAAAAAAAAAAAAAAAAAAAAAAAAAAAAAAAAAAAAAAAAAAAAAAAAAAAAAAAAAAAAAAAAAAAAAAAAAAAAAGAACAAAGAATCAATCATCAACATAAGAAATAAAAGATGAAAGGCAAAATTGTGACTAAAAATTTAAAAAAACATACTATTTGAAATCAAAGATACATTGAACAGGACTAATAGATTTAATACTGTAGTAGAAAGTATCAAGAACTTGAAGAACTACCCTATAATCAAAACAAAATAAAGCAAAGAGAGGGAGAAAAAGTAACCAAGACCTGACCTGTGGAATAACATCAAGTGTTCTAATGTAAGTATGGATGCAGTCCTGGGAAGGGGCAGGGCAGGGCTATTTGAAAACACGATGACTAAATGTAAGTAGTCAAGGCATGATGACAAAGTATGCAGAGTACTCAACATGAAAGGTTCAGTTTTAAATGTAGACTCACATGGGTATATCGTACCAGCAACTTAAAACCCATTTAGCACCACTGCAGTAGTGATGTGATTTTGCAAAGTTGTAAAGAATTCTTTGTAAAAAAATCACAACATTTCAAAGTATAACTTTCCCTTGATTTACACCGTAGCCTTTTGTACATACATTAAAGTTGTGGCCTCCACACCCCCCCACCCCCCAAAAAAACCCTTTGTAAGTGAACAGTTTTTAGGCTTAGAAAATAAAGTTTCTTTTTCCAGTATCATGAACATTTGGCAGTATATTGTAAGCTATGCAGACCATGGAACAATTTTTCTTGTTCAAAACTATCCTGCAAACTGCCAAATAGCTATTCAACTGGGCCCATACCTAATAAATACAGCTAATGCCCCCAATGACTGGTCAATTTTTTTTTTAAAAGAATTCAATAGGAAAAAGGGGTTTTATACTAGGTAGATAGGTAAGGAGATAAAAGGTATGGTGAAGATGTAACAGTCATAAATTTTTATGCCCAATACAGATTTTAACTTTACAATTATCAGGGTTACTAGGAATAAGGAGTTGATGAAAATGTAGTAGAAGACAGGGTAGGTAAAGGGATGGCATTTGGGAGGGAGAGGGATAGATGCCTAAAAAATACAACTGACAAATAGACACACAGAAAAATTATACCAAATTAAAAGTATTTATTTATTTCTAAAAAGGTATGCAATTAAATACATACATTGACGTACAGAAGAACTCCAAGAAATCAAATTATAAAGCCCATATTCTCTAACCATGATAAAATGGCTAAAGATTAACAGCCAATGGTTA